ACCACCAGCACCAGAAGGGACAGCACCAGCACCCCGAACGACAGCACCAGCGCCAGCAGCACCCCCAGCTCCAGCAGCGCCAACTCCAGTACCCTCAGAGGCACCAGCACCAGAGGCACCCTCAGCGCCAACACCCCCAGCAGCTCCAGCTCCAGCCGGACCACCAGAAGACGCAGCGGGTCCAGCTCCAGCACCCTCAGTAGCATCGACGCCCGCAGCACCACCAGCTCCAGGACGAGAAGCACCCGCAGGCCCAGCAGCTCCAGTACTCCCACTACTAGCACCTCCGGGACCCGCGGCACCAGCACCCTCAGCAGCAGCAGAACCTCCAGCACCCGCAGCACTTCCAGCTCCAGCAGCTCGCCTCCAGCGCCGGGCAAACCACTCACGCAGCTCCTGTGGAGAGAGTAGCTCCCGCCGGGACGAAGCACCCGAAGAACCTCCAGGCCCAGCACCGCCAGACGCCACACGAGCAGGTCCAGTACCCTCAGACTCCGCACCCCCAGACGCAGCACCCCTAGGCGTAGCACCCCCAGGTGTAGCACCCCCAGGCTCAGCACCCCTAGAGTCAGCACCCCCAGGCTCAGCACCCCCAGACCCAGCACCCGCAGGCTCAGCACCCCTAGCAGCACCAGAGTCAACAGCTACCTCGACAGGGTCGACTGCGTCTACCTGAGACACACCTGAGGGGGAAGGACCCTGAGGGGGGAGGGGGTCTACCGGAGGGGGACCTGGCGTAAGGAAGAGCGGCGGGGGGGGGAGGGACGCAGTGCGGTAGGGGAAGAGACGGTAGTAGGGAACCGACTCGTCAAAGGTGACGTCCTGGGAGGACAGAACACAGCGCGAGGTGGGGTGGTAGAACTGCCAGCCCGGCGCGTCAGGGGGGAAGCCAAGGAAGACGCAGGGAACAGCATGAGGGGACAGCTTGTCCGCCGACAAGTCGCGGACAAACGCCCGAGATCCCCAGACACGGAACGCAGACGCATCGCCAACCTTCCCCGTCCACAGCAAAGCAGGGGAGGTCTCCGGCATGGAGACCCGGGGCTGAAGGTTGATCTGATGCGCCGCGTACCGAACCGCAAACGGCCACAGAAAATGGGGGGCAGCCGCATGGACCATGGACGTACGAGCGACGTCCATGACCATGCCAATGCTGCGCTCAGCAATCCCATTTTGCTGCGGAGAGTCCGGAAGCGTGAAGGTCTGGCGGATGCCTCATGCACGACAGAAGGCTCGCAGAAGGTCAGAGGAGAACTCTCCGCCTCTGTCAGAGTGCAGACGCAGAATAGGAAAGTCCGAGCCGAAACTCTCTCTGAGCTGGAGACGAGCTGCGCGGATCCAGGCGATCAACACCTCAGTGACCTCACCCTTGCTGCGCAAGGGGAAGACTGCGGTGTAACGCGAGTAGTCGTCAACCACCAGCAGGAAGTAACGCTCGTGACCCTGTCCACGGACGCGGGCTGGGCCCCACACGTCCATGTGAAGCGTCTGCAGCGAAGCCTCTGTCGGAGGAAACTTGGAGGAGTGAGGAGCAGCGCGCTGCCGCCCCTCGATGCAGGGAACGCAGGTGGGGGCAGGCCCCGGAGGAAGGGGAGGGAGGGACCGGGGGAGACCAGAGACAAGGACACGGGAGGCCATGCCTTGAAGAGGAGGCAGGGAGGGGTGACCAAGGCGGTGGTGCCAGAGGAGAGTCTGGTGAGACAGGAGACGACACGAGCAGGGGGCAGACTCAGGACCAGACCTGGACGCCGCAGCAAACACCTGACCCGACGCGGCTACCTGAGCAGACTCAGTGACCGGAGGAGACTCAGTAGTCAGTGTGTACAGGCTCGACCCCGGCTGACGGGTTAACGTGGCCAAGTGACGGCCCATCCGAGCACAGGTACAGTGGGTCACTCGCTGACTCGCAGGAGTGAACTGGTGAACCCCTCCATCCTGGAGGTCAGCACCACTCACCAAGTTCGTAGAGAACGAGGGGAGGTAAAGACCCGACAGGGTGCCAGAAGGGGCCGCCGGACACGGTAGAACAGTGGAGAAGTGGGCAAGGACAGGACCCCCAGAGGGGTCTGCCAGGGAGACTGCCACTGGCCGACTAAGCGGCGTAAGCGTGGTGCGGTCTCGAAAGAAGGAGCGGGAAGCACCCGAGTCAAGGGTGAAGGTGTGGGTGGCCGGAGCCGACGCGGTACCTGAGAGCGCAGACTCACCAGCACCTGGGGCAGCAGGCTCACTAGCACCTAGAGCAGCAGTCTCACCAGCACCTAGAGCAGCAGCCTCAATGCCCGGGTCAGGCGGAAAACACCGGTAACAGTCACTCTCATCACTAATAGTCACAGCATGCATTGCAGCAAGAATAGCATCATAATCAAGATCAAAGATCGCAACACCCACCCTAAACAGCTCGCCCCAGCGAGGGATCTCAGTAGCGCCGGGGAACTGGTGACGCCAAGCGTCCGTCAGGCGGCCGAAGCAGCTCTGGGTGGAGTGCGGACCCCCACACTGCTCACTTGTGCGGTCGCCTGTACGTAGAACGTAGGTACAGGGGCCAGCACCCCAACCCCGCTGACGAGCAGTGTACCACTCACGAAGCTGCTGGGGGGAAGGGGTCTCACGAGTGCGCTGCTGCTGCTGCTGCTGGCGCTGACCACCACTGGAGCCGACCCTCTGCGAAGAGCCGCCCCGACCAGCTCCACCTCCGCCGCCGCTACCTCCACCACCGCCTCCACCTCCACCACCTCCGCTCGCACCGCCACCGCCGCCGCCTCCTCCGCCTCCACTGCCGCCACTAGTGCCCCCACTCCCGCCACCACTCCCACCGCCACCCCCACCCCCTCCGCCGCCTCCACCGCCGCCTCCACCGCCCCCGCCAGCTCCTCCAGCGCCCTTGCCCCCCTTGCCCTTGCCTGAGCGGCGTCTTCCGCTAGGGGCAGACGCCGCGCCGACGGACTCAAGACCAAAGAGGTCGGCCGCAGCAGCAGAGGCAACAGAGGGCAAGAGGGGGGAGGGGGAGCACCCCTCAAAGACAAGGGTACGAGGGTCACCACGAGAGGCTCCTACAGCGACTATACTCTTTTCTGCTGCTAGGAGGCGCTCCTCGAGGAGGTCAACGGTGAGGGTGGTGGGGCAAACAGAGAGGAAGTGGTCCCTGACCGAGCGAAGGGTGTCAGGGAGCCGGGTGACTATGTAGTAGAGGGTGATGTACATAGGGGGGGGGGTTCTTGGCGCAGAACTCAGCAGGAAGCGCAGCGCGGTAGCGAATGTCACTAGTGCGAAGGTGCGTAATGAGGTCAGCGACTGTGGGAAAAGCGGCGAGGTCAGGGAAGAGGTACGGCAGTATGAGGCGGCTAAGGGCAGCAGTGGCAGGGGAAGAGTAGCGTGCAACGACAGCGTCGTACAAGGTCTTAGCACTCTTGTACTGACAAAAATGCGCGCGCTCAGCGGTCGGTAAGTGGCGGCGCACAGCAAGGCGAGCAGCAGCATCGCGCTTGGCCCACTGTAAGCGAACAGTGGCGTCAGTATCAGCAGCAGGGGCAGGAGAGGCACCAGAGGTGAGGTCAAACAGAGAGAGACCGTCTGCCCTATCGCACTGTAGGAAAAGCTGCAGATCATCTACCCAGACCTCAAAGTCAACAGCCCGACCCTCAGCGTCAAAGGTGAGAATACTGGGGGTGGCCATGACAGCAATAGACTGGCAGAGAGAGCAGCGGGGTAGGGCAGTGCAGTGGCAGAGGCGCTGCTCTTACCAGGCAGGTGGGGCGGGCCGAGGCAGGCCGGCAGGGACAGGGCCGCGACGGCAGGGACTGCGGTGTCTCGGCTGCGGTGGCGTGGCGGCTCGGCGGCTCGACGGCTCGGCGGCTCGGCAGCTCGGGGGCTCGGCGGCTCGGCAGCTCGGCGGCTCGGCGGCTCGGCAGCTCGGCGGCACAGCGGCAAGGGCGGCTCAGCGGCTCGGCGGTGACGGCGGCTCGGCTGCTCGACGGGGCCGGGAAGGGCGGCTGAGGGGCCGAGGAAGGGCGGCAGGGCCGCGAAGGGCGGCGACGGGGCCGCAAGGGGCGGCAACGAGGCCGCTGAAGGGCGGCGACGAGGCCGCTGAGGGGCGGCGACGAGGCCGCTGAAGGGCGGCGACGAGGCCGCGAAAGGGCGGCGACGAGGCCGCGAAAGGGCGGCGACGGGGCCGCGGAAGGGCGGCAATGGGGCCGCTGAAGGGCAGCGACGAGGCCGAAAGGGGCGGCGACGGGGCCGTAAGGGGCGGCGACGGGGCCTTAAGGGGCGGCGACGGGGCCTTAAGGGGCGGCGACGGGGCCGTAAGGGGCGGTCGCGGGGCCGTGAGGGGTGGCGACGGGGCCGTAAGGGGCGGTCGCGGGGCCGTGAGGGGCGGCGACGGGGCCGTAAGGGGCGGTCGCGGGGCCGTGAGGGGCGGCGACGGGGCCGTAAGGGGCGGTCGCGGGGCCGTGAGGGGCGGCGACGGGGCCGTAAGGGGCGGTCGCGGGGCCGTGAGGGGCGGCGACGGGGCCGTAAGGGGCGGTCGCGGGGCCGTAAGGGGCGGTCGCGGGGCCGTAAGGGGCGGCGACGGGGCCGCTAAGGGGCCACGCGGGGCCTAGAGAGGGCAGCGACGGGGCCTGAGGGGCGGGACACTAGGCGCGCTTCGGGCAGGGGCGGCACGCGCCCCGGGTAGGAAAAAAAAATCTTGGTGGGCCCTAGGAACAGTTCCCACGAGGGAACCTGCTCGATACCATGAGAAACTTAGAACGAGAGAATGGATTGACTAAGGAATGAAAGTGATACAAATGTGAAACCCTAGAATTGTGTACCCCTTAGTATCTAACCCGCTACAGCCTACACAGGCTAGATCATATAAGTTTGACAGTTTGCTACTCTGATTGCTGAGCGTCCAACAAGGTCTTACTCTGATGCTTCAGGGTTCACAACTTGAAATCAGTGTTGCTTTAAAATTTGCACTATGCTTTTCACAGCAGTATACAGCATGCAGGAAGTTTCTACACTATCTAGTGCATGGGCTTGTCAATGTGAAACACCTCCTCCACATCCTCATCGTCCAAGAGGAATGGATTGTCCTCCTCCTCCTCCTCCTCCTCCTCCTCCTCCTCCTCCTCCTCCTCCTCCTCCTCCTCCTCTCCCACGAGCTCCTGATCGTCGCCCAGGTCCTGTTCCACATCCTCCTCCTCCTCCCCCTCCTCCTCCTCGTTCTGCCCGGCAGTGCCCGCCCCGTCTTTGTCAGAATCAACTGTGCAGGAATGATTGACTAGCAAGCAAGGATGAGTACAAGTACTAGGTTTGACCTAAAATGTTGTACTCAGTATAGGCTACCCCACTACAACCTACACATACAAATGTAATTTGACACACCCCCATAGGCTGTTGGAAACAACTGATTTAAGCGCCTCTGTCGTGTCGAAACACCAAGACAGAAGCGAAGCAGATCATATCGAAATATCAGCGAGTCAACCCTCGGAGGTTGAACAACTGCTGGAGGTTACGCGAAAGTCAAAGGTCAGCGACCTTTGACCTGACAAATACAGCCCGACAGCAAGGACAAACAACTGACTCGCTACTGAGCAGTTGCCCGAGTCGACACTGTATCGAACCGCAACAGCAACAGTAAAACGGTTATTAACCATATCTCTTCATATTCCCTGTATCCTTATAAAAAGCTTGTATCTCTCTGTTTTAATCAATCAACTTTGCCCTCACATACTAGCGCAAGGTGGTTCACAAATCTTCACTTAAAACGCTTCCGCTATTACATCATCCTACCCTTGAATTCTGTCCTGCAAAGATCCTAAGGGCTATCTCAGCCCAACATAGGCAAAGTGGGGGATAGCAAACACAACGAACGGTCACACGACCAGTCAAGCAAGAGAACAAAGCAAAGCAAAGCTCAGGGTGGATCTCAAGGACACCACACAATCTGAGCACAAGCAAGCGGCCACAAGGCAAGTTCATATGCAGGGTTATAATTGCAAGGCAGTACACTAATCACAACATAGCAAGAGTAAACAACCATTGGGATAAAAGGGCTTGTTAAGTATGTTGAAACTACTGAACGAGAATGAATGCATTGAACAGAAAGTTGGTACAAGTACTAACCCTAATTGGGTTGTACCCCTTGTGGGCTATGTCAGAATGATGTAGTGCTTACATTTGTGTAGGCTATAGTGGGGTAGCCCATAAGGGGTACAACCCAATTAGGGTTAGCACTTGTACCCAACTGTTTCATAGTTCATTCATTCTCGTTCGTTAGTGTTGGAAACAAGTAATTTAAACGCTTCTGAAGTATCGAAGTATCGACACGAAACGGAGCAGACTACAGCGAAGAAACACACGAGTCAACAAAAGCAACCGCTGGAGGTTACGCGAAGGTCAAAGGTCGCTGACCTTTGACTTGACGAAAAGTACAGTGTGACAGCAAGGACACATAACTGACTCGTTACTGAGCAGTTACCCGAGTCGGCACTGTATCGAACCGCAACAGCAAAACAGTTAAAAGTAGAACCTTTCATATTCCTTTGTAATCATATAAAAGCCTTGTATTTCCCTGCTATTAATCAACTTATCTTGTTCTCACACACCAGTACAAGGTGGTTCAAGCATATTAACGCTTCCGCAATTACAACATCTCTACTTCAACACTGATCTTAGCCTTGAAAGATCCTAAGAGCTTTTCTCAGCCCAACATGGTATGAGAGCAAACAGGGCAAGTTCATTTTCATAAATACCTACGACAACGCAAGACATGGCAACACAGAAGGAGAGGAGCTCCTCTAACGGATCTCTCGGCACTACCCCTACTCCACCTCCAGCCTCTGGCCTACAGACAGAAGAAGGCACAGCAACAAGACCAGCTGCGGAGTCAACGGAAACTCCCGGGAATCAACCAGCAGGCTTCGACCCAAACATGATGGAGAAGTTCTTCTCCTTCATGTCCTTCTACGAGCAACACCAGCAAGCAGCTCCTGCACAATCAAACAACAGCGACAACAACAACAGAGCAACACCGATGAGTCTTGACGGTTCATCCTACGCGCGCGGAAATTAGCAGCAACCCACCTTTGCCCCGTACGAGCCTCAACGCGGCTCCATCAGTTTCGCGCCGCAACCGCAGTCTTTACCTGGACAAGAGAAGACACTGGACGCGCTTCAGGTGCAATCACAATTTGCACACGTTCTAAAACTGCAAACGTCAACGCTTTTCGACGGAAAGGACTTTTATACCTGGTCATTTGAATTTGAGCTGATGATGGAGGGCGCGCAAATTCTCGGATTCTTCGACGGATCCCTGCCATATCCAGCACATGGGACACAATACGACAAGCAGCAGTATACGTATCAGTCGCTGATGGCGTACACGATACTCCTTCGAAATTTAACGCCAAACGAGCAGCAGAACATTCGGTCTTATCGAGGATACGGCAACTCCGCTGAGCTGGCGTACGACCACATGAAGAGCCTGTATCAAGCAACAGACAGTGTTAACCAGAGTCGTCTCATGGCAGAGTTGACAACAGTGGAAATGAAACCCGGCGAAAAGGGAATGGCTTATATTAGCCGTTGTCGTGGACTGCGCGACAGACTCCTTCGATGCGGAGGATCAATATCCGAAGAAGCCTTTGTAACAGTCATCATCGCCGGCCTTGGTCCTCATTGGCGCTCCACTCGAGCACTCCTTCGAGCTCACGAGAAGATCTCCAAAGCAGCACTCTGCACCGAAATTCACGTTGAACAGCAGGATATGGACCTGCACAAAGAACGACACAAGAAGAAAGCGTCAGCGCCAGAATTCGCCTTCCACACTCAACGACGGTACAACAACAACCGACACAACAACCGACAAGTACAACAGTACTTCCCACCGTTCTGTCATATTTGCAAGACGTCCGGACATCCGCGCACACACTGCCCGAATCAGCAGCAGTCGACAACGCCGCAACATCAACTTCGGCCTTCAAGCAGTCAAGTAGCTTCTACGCAGGCACATCCCACCAGTCAAGTGCAGCCTTCAACATCTTCAACAACACAACCTGCACAAGGAACAAGAAACATCGTAAGCTGCATGACAAGAACGACAAACTCCTGCATCACCGGATCACCACCCCACTACTCACCAGAAGAACAGCTCGATGAGAGGACTCCTCGCCGCGAATCACTGGAGCCCAATCCGACGTATGCAGCCATCGCCTAGAGCGAGCCGTCCGGGCAAGACACTTGGTTCTTGGACAGTTGCTGCGGACAGCACATGTGCTCCTTGAGTCGCTTCGTTCAACAAGAACATCAACTTCAACGCGAATTTGTCATCACCGTAGCCAACAACCAGAACCTGCACACACGACGACAAGGGATAGTACAACTTCAGTCTCGAGAAACTAACGTCATCTTACAAATGTCTAAAGTTTTGATTGCAGAAGGACTTGGCTACAACCTACTAAGCGTCAGCCAACTGATGGCGAAGGGTATTCATCTTGAAGCAGACAGCACCACTCAGGAGTTCAAGTTATTCCACGGTAAAGGAGGACTCTACATCGGCAGAGCAGTCTTGAAGAACAACGTCTTCGTTCTTGATTTTGTACCGGACCAAGGAACCGCCGACAGCGACGCCATCGTCAACTTCGCTTCTTGGACACATCCACCAGACCTCGATCCCGACTTCAGCCCTGGAGGATTCTGGTATTCACATACCATACCTGAAGCAGAAAGAACACGGGCATTAGCAACAATCCGGCAAGAAGAAGCAACATCGACAGCACCAGAGACAACATCGGCAACAACAGCAACACTTACAGCACCACTCGCGAGCTCTTCGACGGCACCAACCTTCATCGACAACACTCCACCGACTCCTGCGCAGCAGTTAGCTCCCACTCCACGTGAAGTCCACAGAAGCCCCAACTTCACCGCGGGCTTTTACTCCAACTCCGACCTGTACAGACGCTCACCCGGACATCGTGCAACCGAATCCCTGTGGCACGAAAGACTGGGTCATCCAAGCAACACCACGTTAAACAATACAATCAAGGCAGCAGTGCTTGACAAAGATTCACTCCTTCTACCCGACGGCAGAGAACTCCAAGGAGTCCGCGGAACATGCTTTACCTGTTCCGAAGCCGACTTACCCCATCAACCGTTCGTCTCTCACCACAATCCAAGCGCGCCAACCTATGCACCACTCAAGAAAGTATACAGCGACATCCTGTATACTCGCGAACAAGGACAAGGAGCATATAATTACGTGATTACTTTCATCGACGCCGCCACCCGTTACGTCTGGCATCTTAATCTCCCAAGTCACGACATGGCCTTCGAAGCTTTTGTCGCCTGGCTACCTGTGGCAGAACGAGAAGCAGGAGCAAAGCTGAAAAGCTTCCAGTCTGACGGAGGAGGGGAATATCAGTCCCAAAGGTTCAAGCAGTACCTCGCAGAACGAGGCATCAAGCGACTCATCTCGCTTCCCTACGCCAATCAACAGCAAGGCGTGGCAGAACGGATGAACAAAACTCTCCAGAACACCATGCGCAAACTGTTGCGTGGCATGCGACTGCCCAATCACCAGTGGCCTGAGGCGATGGACCACGCTGTCATGCTGCACAACTTGCTCTCATCGTCATCACTTCCGAACAACGCATCACCGCACCTGCTGTGGACAGGAAAACTGGGCAACACAAAAATGTTACGAGTTTTCGGGTGCATGGTACAGTACCGCCCGCACACTACAAGAGCCGGAAGATTTTCTCAATGCGCACAGTGGGGACTACACCTGGGCATCGAAAAGCATTACAACGCATGGAAATTTTTTGACGTCCACTCGAAGGAAACAGTAGCAGCACGTGATGTCATCTTCTACGAGCGACTCACACTTCAAACGTACCTGGACAACCTGGCAGCAAATCGAGACCTCACGGGCGGCTTCTGTGGCAACCGAGCCTTCGCTTCAGCAGCAGACAAAGCTGACTGGGACGAGCAAAACGTGGACAACGCATCCGAGGAAGCAGTACCACTCCCATACTGCTCCGTGCCCATCCCGATGGATGACGAAAATCCTCGAAAAAGTGTCAACGCCGAAACTTACTTCGACTTTGCTGACACCAGTTACGTTACACCCCAACCGGTCGACACCAACATCTTCGAACGCATAGGACCGAATTTCTTACCAGACCCTGAAGCAGGAGACGAAGCAGCTTATCCAGAGGACACAAATCTTCCCCGCTACACATAGAGTGGCCTGCTGATACTGGGACTCGTCACCGCTGTCCACGGAGCAGCACCACCTAAGGAGCCTGCCACCATTCAGCAGGCTCTGGGGGGGGAACACAGGGAAAAATGGCGCGAGGCCATGGACAGAGAGTTAAAGGCGCTGCAAG